AAAAAAAATAAATTATTCCAAAATACCGACCAAAGTTGGTCGGTTAATGAACATTGAATTCCCAGAATTCAACATTACCGACCAACTTTGGTCGGTATTTTGCCTGCACTGTTGAGATTACCGACCATAGTTGGTCGGTAATGTTTAATTTTAATTATTTTTAAAATATATATTTTTTCAATTACCGACTAAAGTTGGTCGTTTTTTTTTAATTTTAATAATTAATAAAAAAAATATAATTTAGTTAAACCGATCAACTTTGGTTGGTAAAATTAAATTAATAAAATATATTTCCGACCAAAGTTGGTCGGTAAGTAATTAAACTTATCAGATGGTCGTTTTAAACTACCGACCAACTTTGGTCGGTAAGCCATTCCGACCATCAAAACACCATCCACACTGTAATGGTCGCATTTTGGTCGGTAATTGGCCATAACCGACCAACTTTGGTCGGTTTTTAGCGAATTTCTAGTAGTGTGCCGAGGTAGATCAATTAGTACAAAGATTATAAAAATTTCTCAGCTCGCCGCGGCTCGGACTTTTTGGGTTGAACAATGCATCGATGTGTAAAGGAAAATCTTGTCGGAAAAGGGTCATTTCTACGACCACTATGCGGTCGCAGAATCACTCTACGGACCGCATAATGGTCGCAAAGTGGATCGGGTGAGGGGCAAGATTTGAGGAAAATCTGCGGTGTACTATGCGACCGCAAACCTGTTTTGCGGTGCATTATGCGACCGTAGAACAAGTATGCGGACTGCATAATGACCGCAGACCGGGTCAGTAACGCCCAGCTTTGGAGGCCAAATTATGCGGCCGGTATGCGGATCGCATAACTGTGTCGAAGCTTCCATTCTTTCTAATTTTTGACCCGACCCAACTTCGATTTATAGCCCTTAAAGCTCATTTTTTTAAAGCCAAAATCTGGTATTTTAGAGATAGGTGAGAGCATTTTAGAGAGAAAAAGTGAAGACTTAGTCATTTATCCATCAATTCTTGTTCAAGGTTTGAAGATTTCACAAGGATCTTGCTAGGGCTTCAAAGAGGTAAGAATTTCTTTCCCTAATTCTTCAATTTCGGGTTTGGAGTAAAAATGAGTGATTTATAGTATGATTCTTGGATGTAAGAGTATTATGTATACATACTAATAAGGTTGTGGAAAGATTGTTAAGTTAAAATGGGTAAGGATTGGGTTGAAAATGGTAGAAATCTTCATAGGCTTTAATTGAAGATTTGAGGGTCGTGTTGGTGTCGGATTTTGGTGAAATTTATATGGTTGGACTCGTGGTTGGAGGAGCGTTCATATTCTGTAACTTTTGTCGGGTTCCGAGACGTGGGCCCTACGAGCGATTTTTGAGTTAATTTCAGATTTTATTGGAAAAATTAGTATTTCCTTATGGAATTAATTACAATAATTTGTATTGACTGAATCGAATTAATTGTGGCTAGATACGAGACTTTCGGAGACCAATTCTCGTGGCAAGGGCATAGCGGAATAAATAATTACACGGGTTGAGGTAAGTAACAATTATAAATCTGGTCCTGAGGGTATGAAACCCCAGATTTTTGTATCATGTGATTATTTTGGTGGTGACGCACATGCTAGGTAATGGGAGTGTAGGCGTGCACCGAGGGGATTGTGACTTGGTCCGTTCCGAGAAACTGTAAAGTTGAATAATTTATTGTTAGCTATATGATCTCTATGTGTTGAAGAAATTTGACTATAAATCTATGCTATGTTATAGTACTGTTGAGACCCGTAGAGGTCGCGTACTTATTGAATTATTTGCTAATTGCTGTCTTGTACTCAATCATGATTTTTCTTGCGTATTATACCTCAGTCTTTCTGGATATTTGTTGATATACTATGTTATCTTTGTTTGGGCTGATCCTTGTGATTTCTGAGAGCCCGAGAGACCTGAGAGGTTGAGGACTGAGTAAGGCCGAGGGCCTGTCGGTGAGGTAAGGATATTATGGCACGTGAGTTGTCCGTGCAGGATATTATAGCATGTGAGTTGTCCGTGCAACACGTGAGTTGTCCGTGCAGATTATGGCGCTTGGGCTGTAGGAGCCCCTTCGGAGTCTGTACACACCCCCAGTGAGCGCGATATCCATTGAGTGTGAGTGCTGAGGGCTGGGAGCCGAGTGGTTGAGCTGTTGTGATAAGTTGAGTGACTGTTGCCTGAGAAGCTGTACTTGCTTAGCATTTGTTGTTGCACTTGGTTGCTATCTGTCATTGTTGTAAAATCTCTGAAAGAATTTATATTCGGATTACTTGAAATTGAACTGTATAAAAATTGATTTGACTTAAACTGCCGGATTTGAAAGCATGTCTATTCTTTGCTGGAACTACTGAAAGTGAACTATGACTGTGTAGCTCGTTATTATCTTCAGTTCCTTAGTTATTATTGTTACTTGCTGAGTTGGTTGTACTCATACTACACCCTACACTTCGTGTGCAGATCTAGGTGTTCCTGAACATAGCGGGTATTGATTATTTCATGCAGTTGATTTTCAGGAGATTTTGAGGTAGCTGCCGTGTTCCGCAGACCTTGTCTCTCTTTCTCTATCTCCTTGTTTACTGTATTTGGTCTCAGACTATTATAGACAGTATTTTCCAGACTTGTACTCATATTAGATGCTCATGTACTAAGTGAACAGGTTTTGGGAATGCTGTATCGAAAATTGCTAGATTTTTGGTATTGTATGAAACGTTATGTTTTTATTTTAATTTAAAGAAAATCGTGGGTTATTGATGTTGTCGGCTTGTCTAGTACTGAGATATAGGATTTTGGGTCGTGGCATGTACCTCAAAAAAAAAGTCCAAAGAATGACACAGGCTCATACAGAGACATCCAATAGCTAAAAGGTCATAACTGAATTGTAGTGTTACTAATTCTAATAGCAGTGATTCAGGGATACTAATAAGCAAGTTGCATTCCCTCTTCCCCTTGATAACTTTGTGAAGAAAAAGAAAAAAAGAAGTAATATCTAAAAGATTGCTCATTCCGTTTCAAAAAGATTATCCTACTTTGATTTAACATAAATTTTAATAAAAAAAAGATTTTTGAGATAATGTGATCTTAAAAAGTAATAGCATTTGTATGACTTTAAATGCTTTCTATTAAAAAAATATTTAAATATGTCAATCTTTTTTAAACGGACTAATAAAAAAAGAATGGTAATCTTTTTTAAAACGGAGGAAGTGCAATTTAATTTCTTTAAGAACTGAAGTGAAATTTATCAAATTACAAGGGGGAGAAAAATCAAAAATTCGTTATCAAGGAGCGATTGACTACACCGCTGACCTGAGCGGGAGAGATTTGCAGAGCAGCCTGCCCTGTAGAGTAAGCTACCGAATGTTCATTGCCCCTAGAGGCGCTTCAAATCTTGTCCAAGTAACTTTTAAAATCCACTTTCTATTTCTGTATTTAGCTTCACTTTCCCTATCAAATATTCAGCTACTCAACGATTATCTTATTTTGATCTGCTCACCAATATTCCTGAGAGTTTGTGCTTTACGTGAATCTAAATCTATCCCCAGGTTGTATCAGTTGTGGAAATGTCGAAATCGTCATCTTCAAAATTCGTCCTGAGGAATATTTATCAGTACATTTCATCAAAACCCCCTCAATTTTCAAACCCCAATGCTACTTCCAGTGGTATTTCTCATTTCCTTTCTAATCATCCCAAGTTAATCGAAAAACCCTTTATTAATCCATGGGTTTCAAATTCCCAACGAGTCCATTTTTCGTCTTCGCCGTTACCCCGGATTTTGCAAAACCCTGGTACTAAAAAGTTGGACCCAGATGGTAATTTGAGGAAATTGTTAGGGTTTAGGTACTTCTCGTTTAAGAGTGGGAATTTTGGGAAAAATCTGTTGAAGAATCCGGTTGTGGCTGCAAAGGACACGGCTACGCGGTACAAGGGAGCTGTGGGGTTGCAGATAGAGGCATTTTGGAAGAGGAATTCTCTCGTGTTGTTTGGCGCAGCGGGTGTTATGGTTTGCATTTTGCTTTGGAGGGTTCTGTTTGGGATTGCTACTGCTTTTATTGGATTGTCTGAAGGCATGGCCAAGTATGGCTTCCTTGCTCTTTCCTCCGCCATTGTCGCGTTTGCTGTGAGTTTCTTCTTAAGTTCCTGTTTGAATGTAGTTGATTGTGTTGGACTCTTTTATTGGTGTTTTCACTTTGATGCTGATGCGTAAGATATATGTGATGTGTAAATTGTGCGTTTTTGGAAATTATATTGTTGTTAGAGTTGCTCTTTGCTGAGCTTTTGAATGTGCTAATTGCATCCTTAGTGTGTCTTAGCTGGTATTGATGTCTTACTGTGCCTTATAAAAAAACTGTTAATGTGAGAATTGGAATGTTCTTTGTGAAAATAGAAAATAAAAAATTAAACCACAAATATGTCTACTCCATGAGCTTTATTTAAGAACTTAATGAACATGTTCTGGAGCAAATCTTACTTATATTTTGCTTTGCATCCTCTGGATGTGAGGATTTATCATGAAATTGCCTAGTTTTACGATGGCTGTCAGCCTACCACAACCCTTCTCCTTTATCCAGGTTTGGAACGGCAATGTGAGCAAGCTTAACAAAAAACCCACAAATATGTCTAAGGACCTTTTTGTTAGGTAATAATGGAATATAGTAGGTGCTGATAGGAACTTCTCAACCTCGCAAATTAACGGCATAATTGGCTTGGTAAAAAGCTAATTTTTGGACCATGAGCTTCAAAGTCCTGAAATGATCAATCCAAGTTAACATTCAAAGTTGCGCATCACAATATGTGGGGCTCCAACTCCTTCTACCTGCTTGATAGTTGGCACTAGGAACTGTTTAGTGCTTTGAACAGTGGATAGTCTATGATTGAAGTCTCCCAGTTTTCCTTCTTCTTTCTATGTCTTGAATTCTTGCTGAACAAGCATCCTCTGTACTTTTTCTTGATAACTATAATTAAGAAAACTTTTGCTTTGTTATGTTAGGGCTTGTATCTTCGCTCAAGATTTACCATCAATCCTGATAAGGTGTACAGAATGGCAATGCGAAGACTTAATACAGAAGCTGGAATTCTTGAGGTTATGGGGGCTCCACTCTCTGGAACAGACTTGAGAGCATATGTGATGTCAGGAGGTGGTATTACCCTTAAGAACTTCAAGCCACGTTTCAGGGGCAAAAGATGTTTTCTGATTTTTCCAATACGAGGTTCTGAGCGGAAAGGTTTAGTGAGTGTTGAAGTCAAGAACAAGAAAGGCCAGGTTTGATTTCAAATCAGCTTCTTCTTCTGTTTTATATGATGAAGCCTAACTGTGTGTCTTTGTAATTTTCTCTTCATACCTGAATATTGTCACATATCTTGAGCTTCAAAACTGCCAGTAACTTTCCTTTTTTTGACTAATCGTGCCTAAGTGGAACATTTAAAGCTTTAAAAGGGATAGTTTTTATAGCATCATGAACTAAAAGACTTAACAATAAGCAATATATATATATATATATATATATATATGTGTGTGTGTGTGTGTGTGTGTGTGTGCATATAGAGAGGGAGAGAGATCAGAATTGGTTAAAGTGCATGTGGTGGCGTTGTTGCATGCACTGACATTTTAGTGAGCTTTATCAATACAAATATAGGATCTCACGTTGTGGTCCAGTGTTATCAAGCATTATATTTTCTTGTTTCCAGCTAATAAGAGAAGGACCCCCCAAAAAGGAGAAGATATCCATATGAAATTGCAATCGTCACAGTACTTGGCTTGGCTGCAGATTTAACCCATTATATACTGAGTTTTCAAATTTAATGAAGCTAGATATTGATGCCGTGAGCATAAGTTCGGGTTAATTGGTTTTATAATCTACTAGTTTCTGGACGCTCGTGTATCCCATGCCAATCAGTACGATTTTTTCTTTCTTTTGTCTGAGGTAAATATATGAAGACTAACTGTACGACCCATAAACATTACTATTAATGGTTGATAAATTGGGTATTGAAATTCTACTCAGTAAATGACTTATTTGCCTCCTTATGTCTATGGTGAATTTATAAAATGACGGTAAAATGAAAGAAAAAGATAAAAAATTTAAATAAAAAAACCATACCAGTAATATAAATAACATACTCAGTAAACATACATTAATTAAAGCATTATTAGAACAGTACGTAAAAAGAACATGCTGGCGATTATTATTTGACCAAAATGTCAAGCCAATCATCAACCTTTCCTAAAGAGCAATAATGTCTCTAATTACTACATACTCCCTCCGTTCACTTTTACTTGGCATGTATACTAAAAATAGATTTTCATTTTTACTTGTCACTTTACGCATATCAAGAAAAGACAATTTTTTTTCCTGTTATACCCTTAATTCATTAACCAATATTTATTGAATAAATAATAGTCAATTGTAGCTTTCCAATGCTCAATATTGGAATTCACGGAGAACTCTTCATTATCACCCTTCGTTAAACACAAAAGTCCACTAAAGTCATCTTTTATTCTATTGTTCTTTGGAGTATTTTTTTCTTCGGAAGTTATTTGGGAATTTGGGTTCAATTATTGAGTGTCAATTAATAAGGTTATCGTGGTAAAATTATCATGTCAATCATTGTTTCTTAAGGGGCGTGAAAAGTCAAATGTGTTAAGTAAAAGTGAACGGAGGGAGTATTTAGATGACAAAAATTTTTCTTTTTAGGATAGGTTTTAGAGGACCAAAAGTTTATAGATGCAATACTATATATATAACAATACTAAAATTAATGAAATGCAAGCTCATATGTATGTTAATGCACCAGAAAAGTTACCTTATGTCAGATTACTCACAAGCCTATCTAAAAATTATGCTAGAAGAATGTTTTTTTTATGAAATATGCTAAAAGAACATGAAAACTACAATATAAGATGATGTATCAGTACATCTCACAAGAGTAACAAAATGGAGATATTGTTATCGAACCATACAATGAATAATAAATAGACAAAAATGGAAAAAAAGAAATAGAAATGAATGATATTACAGTTATTAAATTATTGTAAAGCTTAAAGAACCAAAGAAAGAAATAAAAGAATAGAAATAGAGTGGACCACAAATAATTTAAAATTTCAGACGGTTTCATGAATTTCTCAAAATTCCTTTTATCATTTGATTTATCGGGAAACTTTTACACAGAACATAACAAGGTAAAATACCATTAATTAGTTATAGAATTAGTAAAAGACTATGGAAAGTGACTAAAAAAAGAAATCAATTAACCTGATTTGGCACTTGTAGTATGGTTTTCTGTGTAGCTGATGCTAAGCAATATGCATAATTTTGAAGAATGATGTGTTTAATGGATAATGGCTTGACAGAAAGAATAATTGTTTAATAAGTTAACTGTCCGTTTTTTAGATTTGAGTAGGATATAAAAGGTACTGAAAAGGTTCACCTTCCCATTTGTAGTTATTATTGAAAGTTGAAAAGAATTAAAATATTAAATAGGTATTCTAAAGGTTGCACTGAGTATTGAAATATGAAAGCAGTTGCAACGCATTGGATAGGCTGTAGTAAGTGTGAATTGCACTTGGGCAAGTATTGGTCTATTTATCTAATTTCATTTTAATACGATATTATTATTTGTTGAAAGGTAAATTTACTTTTAAGTACCAAAAATTATAAGAGTAAATGTGTAATTTAAGGGCAAAATGGTCACTCAGCTTTTAATGGGTAATATGGTAATTCAACTTTTACTTTGGGGATTCCCGCTTATAATATAGCTGCTTATAATATAGTATGATATGATGATTTGAGCTGGATTGTTTTGAGCCCTACCTTTCTCACTTTGGACTAAATAAGGCCATAATGTTAGTTCGTCAAATGATCATTTAGTGTGTAGTATTTCTAATTCTAAATGTCTGAAATATACTTTTTCACTAGAGTTGTCCAGAACTTGAAGTACCCTAAAAAGAAAAGGTCACCAGAAGTTGAAGCTTCTCGATTTGGTTGCTAAAACACCAGATAAATAAACAAAGCAGAAGAATCTGACTGGTCTCATGTTCATTCTAGCCATGTTTATGCTAACGTTTTTGCCTCCTCCTTTTCTTTCTGCAGTATGATATGAAATTATTGGCAGTAGATATACCGATGGCCTCAGGACCGGACCAACGTCTATTCCTGATTGGTGATGAAGAAGAATACAGGGTTGGTGGTGGTCTAATTGCTGAGCTAAGAGATCCTGTTGTTAAAGCAATGGCAGCAACTAAGGAGTTCGAAGATCGCGACGAGTTGGAGGATGAAGAGGATGCTGAAAGAGAACTTCAAGAAGCGGAGAGAAGGCATCAGGAAGAAATTGAAAAGCTTGAAAAAGGTGATTCAAGATGATTAAGCTGAAGCACTTTTTGTCGGTTACCTCTTTGGTTTTACAGTGGAGTTGTTTACAAAGGCAGTATACTAAGTAGAGCATCCAAAGACTAACAATGCTCTAACTGTTGAGTTTGCAAGTTTTCCTTACCTCTGGTTGAGTTAACAGCTACTTTGGCATGCACAGGCAGGGAATATAGATCATACACTCAGAATTTTCTGTAATGGTATGTCGTTCACCAATAAGTATGATATCCCTGGAAGTATCAATCCTTAATGTAATCCATACGTGATTTATTTCATTGTGCAACCTTGTGGGGCTCCTCCTGGCAGAAGCAAAAATAACTACTTTGAGTTGTCCCTAGTAATAATGGTTGATATACACCATGAAGATATGGGATTGCAATTAAAATTCTTTAGTTGCCATCAAGCGATGGCCAGTTTGCCTATTGAGTGTTGTTCTTGTTAAAGTTCTTTAGTTTCCATCAAGCGATGGCCAGTTTACATACATCTTTGATTTTCTAAAATTGAGTCCATAATTTCAAGTCGTTCTTAGCAGCTAAAGGTATTATCTTTTTGTCCTAGTTCACTCGAGCAGATTCTGTCATTTGCATTGCTCTTCACCTGAAAATGAATCGTGCCATGGCATAGGTGCCTCTACCAAGAAGCATAAATTACTTGATCAATGCTTCTGCTTCAGTTCTTTTAAATAGAAATTTTACAAAAAGTCTGCGCTTGACCAACATGGTCCTAAAGACTCCAAGCATTGCTACAGTAAATGAAGAGAGCACATTCAAATCTTTGATAAGATATACAGGTACTTTAAGTAACGTATGTATCAAAGCTTTGCTACTCGTTGCAATCTGCATATTTCCTTCTGTGGGCGAAGTGCAACTTCTTCAAATGACAAAGTTCCAATAGTTTTGATCTGCCAAATAGAACAAGATGCGGAGGGTAATCAGAACCAATTCGCTGTCTAGTAGGAATATCACATTGGTTTTCTGCATGGACATTGGTACAGTGGTGACCAATTGATCCTCAGCTAAAAGGTGTTTACCATCTTTGATTCTTCTTTAGGATTTTTTGCATTAAATGAACTCAAATTAAGAAGTAATCAGCAAAGTGGCAAAACTTCAATAAAAGGTTACCATTTTTTTTCCTACGGTATCATAAACTAGAATATCATGTAGTATGTTTGAGAAGATGAAAAGACTAATCTCTGACATATAAATTAGCCAAAAAGTAAGTCCCAACAAGTATAACTGGAATAGGAAACACAATTTACAAGAAGTGAGTGGATGAAGCTATCACAGGATATCCAAATGCGAAATTTACTCAGAGCTTATGAGAAACGCAAAACAAGTTGTATGGAGGGCCTCTCTTCACTATATATCCTATGTGCCAGAAATTGCCTTGTACCCTTCTTTCTCCAGAACTTCAGCTATCGAAATATCTCCAGTCTTCACAATTCTCCCATCCTCCTGGAAAAGTAATGATATTAACCACTGAAACTAAAAAACTTAAGGGTGCGTAAAAGTAAAGAAGAGAACACAAACAAGTTTGTTGCAACTAATCATTAGTATGTAAACACATAATCTTGAGAGATACACATACTATACACTGCATGGTCCAGACTCTGAGCGAACAAAAGTAAGTGAGATTAGTAGAATGCAGATATATGAAGAAACAAGTACTGGTTGCCTAAATATAGCATATGCACATATAGCCAAACATTTTTACTTGTTTGAAACATATAGCGGTATGCGTAAAAGGTGATAGATTCCTAGTTACAATCTCAACTCTCCTGTTTTCTGCTCATCAACATCCAACTTGGATAGTCGACCTTATTATTTTTTGTATCCCTTAGTAACTCTGTTCAGTAGCAATTGCTTACCATGATATGAATATAGGTTGGCTTGATAAACTCTAGCAATCTCAAGTAATGTGTGATCATCAACACAGAATTCTTAAAGGACAGCAGGCAATTTACTGCCTTTGCCACGTCTCGAAGTGCATCAACATCTAAACCGGAATCAATTTCATCAAGTATTGCTAAGTCTGCTCCAAGAACCTGCAGACAAACCAGCAAAAGTTAGAAAGCTATAAAGCATTTGTTAGTAAAACGCTTCATCCTAGAGATGAGCTGGAACAACCTTTCCTATGCAATCAAAAGACAAAGTTCTCATAATATGCGAGTTTTAGGCAGTAATAGACCAAAATATCATTCAAAAAATTTGAAGTCCAGTCAAAATCAGACAATTATCTGGACAGTATTAGATTCTCACTGTATATTGCAGCCACAAGAATAAACATTTATCCCATGTTAATGACAAAGCAGGAAAGACAAGGAACATGGAATACCGCTAATTGCAAAATCTCATTGCGCTTCCTTTCTCCACCGCTAAATCCTTCATTGACATTTCTGTTCAGGAAGTCTATCTTATCTTAATCTTAGCTGGTAGTTACTGACTTCAGCATCAAAGAGGTATCTTAGTGAGATGCATTTACAAGATACATAAAGTAATATAAGTTTCAGAGAACATAAGCTGGAAACCATGATTTTGTAGATAGAAAATAGCCAAGCATTGGCTAATGCCAATTCAAGAATCAACAATAGAAAGCGTTTTATATATTGTTCCTGGAACTTAGAGAAAAAGTACAAGAATGAATGTAGTTGCAAATTTAAGGCCTAGAAAAAGGTGGATACCAAATATTATCATCCAAAATAAAAACAAAATACTCAATTCCATATCTTAGTAATAAAAGAACTAGGTGATTACAATCTAAAACAAATTTTTTTTGATAGAAAAGCACTAACCTTGGCAAAAGTGCTCTTTCCAGAACCATTCTTTCCCATTACAGCATGTACCTAGTTCAAATAATAATAATCACATCAGAACTGAGGCATTCCAAGCAGCTAGCAACCGTGACACAAATGGAAAATGACACAATAGTTTGCTGGAAACCTATCACACGGGTTACTAAATTGAACTACAAAATTTAGGAACATTTCATTTATCCATGTTATTTTATTCAGTTATAACATCTAATTATTACTATCTCCACAAAGCATAAATACATACAGTTCCTCCCATTTTTCAAGTGTTAAGGAGTCCAACAAAGTACTAAATTAAATCCATAAAACCAAAATTTTATGGAAATACATACATTAGTCACTAATGATTGAAAAAAGTGAACATAAATTGGTGAAACTTGTGAAAACTGCAAAGAAATGAAATTATGTACATCCTAAGTTCTAACTTAAGTGATGTAGTTTGACTTAACACGAAATTTAAGAAATAAATGAACTTGTGGTCTTAATCATGCAATAATGTGGCGATAACACTTTTAAAACTTGTGTTTTTAAACATATCATAATATTTGTATGGTTGTTCTCATTAAACGGAACACTTTTTAAATAGAGCATAACTAGTTCTTAACATAGCAATGTCAGGGGCAGATTTACTGTTCTAGTGATGGTGCACGAGAACTCATGGTCTTTCCGCTAGTAGGTATCTTTATATATATATTTCCTAGAATTTATATAATATTATCTGCTGGCCCCAATGTTCCAAGAAGGCTAAATGATACACTTAATTGAATGTTGAGTTATTTACCTGAAACATTAAGATCAATTCACACTTAATACTTTTTTTCTCCTTTTTTTAGTGGTAGATGCATATTCTAGAAATACTAAATCCACCTAGAATGTGCCATTCTTTGTAAAACGAACTAATATGGAAATAGTATCACATTAACTGGTTCCAAACAAAAAGGGTAGTTAATGAGTAATTTGGAAGATTAAACACCTCGCCTTCATAGACAGTGAGGTTAACGCCTTTGAGAATGGGCTGTCTCGATTCAGCTATCACAGCAGACAGGTCCTTCACTTGGAGCAGCAGCTTCCGCGTGTCATCTCCGCCGCCGGTGGCGGAATACGACGGGGACTCAACGATAGCGGTGGCATTAACTCTAAAAATGCGGCGAACTGAGGTAGCGGAAGCGGAGCTTTTGAAAGAAGGAATTGGATGGGTTGATGAATAATTAACCGCCATGAGGGAATAATCTTCTATCTATATAGAATAGGAGAAGCAAAGCCATATTATTGTGCCAAGTGTCAATATATAAATTAAATATGTGTCCAATTTTAGGACAAACCTTCAACTAATTTGGAGGTTCAAAAATAATTTAAAATAGAAATTTAAATATATGCTAATGCAGTTGAACTTATATGCTAATGTGTTCTGCGATTTTTTTAATTTGTTAAAAGAAGTTCAAAACGTTTAAAACTTCTTTAATTGGTTTACAGAAGTTCACAAACTTTAAAACTCCCAATTTAGTACATATCTACTTTGACTCCCACGTTTGTTGGTATAATTTTTTTAATTTGTTAAACCTGTAAATTAAAAAACAAATTACTTCAACCACGTCTGGAGTTACTCCCACGTTTGGAATTGGATAATGTGCAATATGGATAGATTTCAAAAATAAACCGGAAGAAACATATTTTTTTTTAAAATAACCACAATCATCTTCCCAAATGTGGGTATCCCAACCTAACTCCATAACTTATCCACTTTCTCCATAACTACATGACAATTTTATGCGGCTCCTTTTAATTCCTTTTCTATTCTCTTTTTGCTTTGGTCAACATACGAACTTTGCAAATATGGTTACAAAACTTCATGACATCAGACAAATTTCAAGCAACTCCATGCAATGGAATTTAAAAGTAAGAGAAGTTCGAATGTGAGAAATCCCGGATCGCTACAAACCTGAAATACCTTATTCGATAGAGTTGGTATTACCAGATGCAAAGGTAACATATTTATCATTGCTTTCACTTTTTTCTTCCTCTTCTTTGCTGCTATGGTTCATAGATTTTCCAATATGCAATTGTTTATTAGTTTCCAGCAATCCTCAAAAAGATGAAACTACCCACTTGAAGTGATTATGTGGTGTAGTCTTATTTCTATTTCTGTTTGTGAACATCTGATTGATAATTGCTTACTTATTTCATATGGACATCTTTAACTTGCGTCCTTTTGACCAATTCACGAATCAACATGATGTCGATGAGGCTGAATTATTCGGTAATTTTTCTTTTCCATTTAATTCTAATACTACGTTTATTAAAATTATGTGATTAACTTTTATATTTGTAGATATCATTGGTCAGGTTGTGACCTATGAAGCTGTTCAGACCTACAAGCAAGGAGACAACAAAAGTGTCTTTATGAATATTGAACTTGAAGATGATAAGTAAGTCATTCACAAATAGAAACTATACTTTGCAGTAAAACGGATTTTTTTTATTGTACTTTTTCTGTGAAACATATAGGAGGAACAAGATTTCGGCAACCTTATGGAGTGAACTTGTGGATCAAATTCAACCTCACTTGAATGCATCTACAGCTGATCCTTTGATTGTTGTTTTTCAACTTATGAAAGCTCAAAAATATTGAGGTTTTCCAATAGTTACATTTATATTTGATAAACAGTTTCAACATAATTTATAATTTTTTTATTTTATTCATAGGTAATTACTCAGTACGTAGCTGTTGGTATGCTTCAAAAATATAATTGAATTCAAAACTTCAATTATGACTTTTTTCCCAGTTGATTGCTTATGGACAAAGTTTAGCAATGACTAAAATATAATTTTGTCCTGCGGTGCTTACAAAATTTGAGAAAAGGGAGGGACAAGAAAAGGAGGACTTAGAGTGAAACCATGTAGTACTAAAGGTTATGTCATAGTCATACATCTGCTGCATTTTCTTATTGATAATGAGGTTGAAAGGAGACTAAAGGTACAACTTTGTAATGGTTGAGTGCTTTTACTCAGTTTAAGAATTTGTATTCAAACTTTTCATAAGGTTCTAAAGATCTGAATGTGCTTATTTTGCTCCCTATTTTCAATTTTCGCTTCTACAATTTATGGGCTGAATGTTATGCGTATTATTACTTAGCTTATAGCTAGCTGCTGCCATTGCCTATGGTCTGCACAAGAAAGCTTCTAGGTCCTTTTCTCACTAGCTGTATTATAAGGGATAAGTCTATTTCCATATGATTTGAATGTATTAATGTGTTTCCTTTTCGTCTACCGTATTTTCAAATAATATTTTCTTTTAAAATGTTATATTTTACATTCTTCGCGCAACGCGTGGGTACGGATACTAGTATTTAAAATTTCTAAATATTATCTAAAGCTGTGTAGATCTCCACACATAAAATAACTAGAAACATCTATATTTATAATAATGAAAAGCCTACTTTAACTCAAAATATAAAAATATATTCCTATATTGTTATGAATATATTATATTATGGATGTTTATTAGTACTTAATTATAAAGAAGCTTCCTCAAGAAACTTATTCATATGGGACTCCGTCGTAAATATGTTTATCTATTTAGTACTCTACTAATAATAAGCCTCCTGAAGAATTTTATCATTTCGGTACTCCATTATGGATAAATATTACCACTGATAGAAGATTATCTATATCTGGTACAATAAGTTTATTCGGTACTCCGTTATGGATAAATATTACCCCTTGTAGAAGATTATCTATATTTGGTACAATAGCAGCTTGCACAACAGCTTGCAGTAGCAGCTTACACAGCAGCTTGCAGTAGCAGCTAACACAACATTTTCCTTTCTTCTATAAATAGAGGAGTTTTCAGTTCATTATGTACATCAGTTTGAAGTTGAATAATATATCAGTTTTCTCTCTATATTTGTCTTTACTTTACAGTTTTTATTTTATAACACGTTATCAGCACGAGACTCTGCCATCTCGAGAAAATACTTTGAAAGTATCAGAGGTATGAACTTTCTTTTCTAAATAATGCCAAATCTTTCTAAACTAGAATTTGTAGCCCCGGATATATCAGGCAAAAGCTACATGTCTTGGGTGCTTGATGCTGAATTCATCTTGATGTGATGGGTCTGGCAGACACCATCAAGGACAAAAATCAAGCATCAAACCAAGACCGTGCCAAAGCAATGATATTCCTACGTCATCACCTTGATGAAGGCTTGAAAATAGAATATCTCACTGTTAAAGATCCAGTCATACTGTGAAATAATTTGAAAGATAGATATGACCACCTGAAGATGGTCGTTCTTCTACATGCACGTTATGATTGGACTCATCTAAGGCTACAAGATTTTAAATCTATCAGTAAGTATAATTCTGCTATGTTCAGAATTATTTCCTAATTAAAATTATGTGGTAATAATATTACTGATCATGATATGTTGGAGAAAACTTTCACCATTTTTCATGCCTCGAATATGCTCCTGCAGCAGCAATATCGAGAGATGGGATTTAAAAAATATTCTGAACTTATCTCACATCTTCTTATAGCCGAGGAACATAATGAGCTATTAATGAAAAACCATGAGAGCCGACCTACTGGTTCTTATCCATTCCCTAAAGTGAATGAGACGAACTTCCACCGAGCTAAGTGTGGAAGAGGTCGTGGCCCCAGTCGTGGTCATGGCCGTGGTCGGGGAAGAAATTATAATCATGGTAATAATAGTGCATCAAAGAACGCTTCTCACCACCAGCAATGGAAAAGGAAGGAACAAAAGCATGAAACGGTGCAAGCAACAAATGCAGAAAATGCATGCTATAGATGTGGAGGAAAAGGGCACTGGTCACGTATCTGTCATATGCCAAAGCACCTAGTTGAGCTTTATTAAGCCCCCCTGAAGAAGACAGAGAAAAATACTAAACAAATTTTATTTCTGAAGATAATTTAGACTTCATACATTTGGATGTAGCTGATTACTTTGCACTCCCAGAAGGAGAAACAAGTCATGTGATCGGTGATGAATCTGTAGAAATGTAAATATTTTAATTTTTGTTGTTTGTAGTAGATAGTATGGTTATGTAATTATTGCACATAAATAAAAATTTATTCTTTGATGATGATATTTACTATAATATATTTTGTTTATGTCATTTTGAAGAATATAGATAATCCTCAAATTGTGTTTAGATCAAAGGCCAATCATGAAGATATTTGTGTAATTGATAGTGGAACAACTCATGCCATATTCAAAGATCAGAAATACTTTTCTTATTTGCATAAAGAAAAAATAAATGTTTCAATAATTTCTGGTAATATAAGTTTGATTGAAGGCTCCGGAAGAGCCACTATATTTCTGTCTAAGGGAACAAAACTTATTATAGACAATGCATTGTTCTCCTCCAAGTCCCGAAGAAACTTGTTGAGTTTTATAGATATCCGCCGAAATGGGTATCATGTTGAGACGATAGATGAAATGAATGTGGAATATCTTTGTATTACAAAGAATGTTTCTGGCCAAAAGTGTATTGTAGAAAAGTTACCAACTTTATCTTCTGGCTTATACTATTCAAAGATTAGTACAGTTGAAGCACACTTTATCATAAACTAGAAGTTTACTGATTCAAATACTTTTGTGCTTTGGCATGGCCGTTTGGGCCATCCTGGATCAATAATGATGAGATGAATTACTGAAAATTCGAGTGGGCATCCATTAAAGAACCTGAAGAGTCTTACAATTGATAAATTTTCTTGTGATGCTTGTTATCAAGGCAAAATAATCACTAGACCATCACCAGTGAAGGTTGGCATAGAATTCCCTGCCTTTGTAGAACGTATACATGAGAATATATATAGACCTATTCACCCACAAAGTGGGCTATTTAGATATTTTATGGTCCTAATAGATGCATCTTCAAGATAGTCTCATGTGTGCCCACTATCATCTCGCAACCTGGCATTTGCAAAGCTATTAGCCAAAATAATTCGATTAAGGGTACAATTCCCAGATTATCCTATAAAGGCTATTCGCCTTGATAATGCTGGAGAATTCTCATCTCAAGCTTTTGATGATTATTGTCTATCAGTTGGGATAAAAGTTAAACATTTGTAGCTTATGTTCATACTCAAAATGGCATTGCAGAGTCATTTATTAAATGCCTGCAATTGATAGCAAGACCACTACTTATGAAAAAAAAAATTTGCCCACTACTGTTTGGGGGCATGCTATCTTGAATGCAACATCACTTATCCATCTCAGACCGACGCATTATAATAAATATTCTCCGTCACAATTAATTTTTGGTCATGAACCAAATATTGCCCATCTACGAATTTTCAGATGTGCTGTATATGTGCCAGTAGCACCACCACAACGCAGTAAGATGGGCCCATAGAGAAGGTTAGGAATATATGTTAGGTTTGAATCACCCTCTATTATTCGCTATCTTGAACCATTGGCAGGAGATTTATTTACTTCTAGATTTGCAGATTGTCGGTTTGATGAAACAAATTTCCACAATTAGGGGGAGAAAAAAAGGAAATCAAAAGAGAAATTATGTGAAAAAATTCGTCATTATCTTATTTTGATCCACGTACCCCTATATATAATTATGAGGTCCAGAAGATCATTCATTTATAAAATATAGCAAATCAAATGCTAGACGTATTTACTGATTTGAAAAGGATAACTAAGTCACATATCCCTGCAGAGAATGTGCTTATCCAAATTGATGTCCCAGCAGGACCATCTACTATCATGAGAGCTAGTGAACCTAAAGCACGCCTGAAACGTGGTAGGCCTTTGGGTTCTAAGGATCGAAATCCCCGAAAACGAAAATCGACAAATGATCAAAACGATACTATAAAGGGATATCTTGAAGAGACCCAATATCTGATTAGTTATGAGATTCCTGAAGAAATCAATGAACTCAAGACTCAAGTGAGCGAGGAACTTTTAATAAGTTCTACTGGTGATAAGATTAATTTAAATCGATCTGAAATATTGGTGGATACTATTTTTGCATATAATGTTGTACTTAACATTATGCAAGATAGTGAGAATTTTGAACCCCGATCTATCGAAGAATGTCGACAAAGATCTGATTGGCCAAAATGGCAAGGGGCAATTCAATCAGAATTGAACGCACTTGCAAAAAGAGAGGTCTTTGGACTAGTAGTCCAAACACGTGCTGCTATAAAACCAATTGGTCATAAATGGATTTTTGTGCGAAAAAGAAATGACAAAAATGAAGTTGAAAGATACAAGGCTCGCCTTGTCGCACAAGGATTCTCACAACGACCTGGAGTCGATTATGAAGAAACATATTCACCCATTATAGATACCATAACATTTTAATATCTCATCAGTTTAGCCTTACGAGAAAGGCTTGAAATACATCTAATGGATGTAGTTACAACTTATCTGTACGGGTCACTTGATAATGAGATTTACATTAAAATCCTTGAAGGATTTAAAATGCCTGAAATAAATTCAAAATCTCGAAAAATGTATTCAATCAGATTACAAAGATCTTTGTACAGTTTAAAACAATCTGGGCGCATGCGGTATAATCGCCTTAGTGAATATTTGTTGAAAGAAGGTTACATAAATGATATTATTTGTCCATGTATTTTTATAAAGAAAATGGCATCAGAATTTGTTATACTTGTTGTTTATGTTGATGACATAAATCTTGTTGGAACTCCAGAAGAGCTTCAAAAGGTAATTGAATATCTTAAGAAAGAATTTGAGATGAAAGATCTTGGAAAGACAAAACTTTGTCTTGGTCTGCAAATTGAACATTTAGCAGACGAGATTTTTATACATCAATCTACTTATACATAAAGGGTCTTAAAACGCTTTTACATGGACAAAGCACACCCATTGAGTACACCAATGGTTGTTCGATCACTTGAAGTGAATAAGGACACGTTCCGACCTCCAGAAGAGAATGAGGAACTCCTAAAACACCTTATCTCAGTGCAATTGGTGCACTTATGTATCTTGCTAATGCTACAAGACCTAACATAGCATTTTCTGTTAATTTACTAGCAAGATATAGCTCTTTTCCTACATAGAGACATTGGAATGTGATTAAGCATATTTTGCGATATTTAAAGGGAGCTCATGATATGGGTGCAGATCTTGTTAGTTATGCAGATAAAAGTTATTTATCTGATCCCAATAAAGCTCGATCTCAAACCGGGCACATATTTACATGTGGAGGTACTGTCATATCATGTCGCTCCACAAAGCAATCTATTGTTGCTACTTCTTCAAATCATGCTGAGATTATAGCTAGTCATGAAGCAAGTAGAAAATGCATATGGTTGAGATCAGTGATTCATTTTATTCAAGAAAAATATGGTTTGGAATGTGATAAAAGATACACAATTTTATACGAAGACAATGCTGCATGCATAACCCAATTAAAAGGAGGATTTATAAAAGGAGATAGAACAAACCACATTTCACCAAAATTATTCTACATGCATGATCTTCAGAAAAATGATGACATTGATGTGCAACAAATCCGTTCAAGTGACAATCCGACAGATTTATTCACTAAATCTTTGCCAACTTCAACTTTTGAGAAGATGGTATACAAGATTGGAATGCGTAAACTCAAATATTTGAAACATGATTTTTATCAGGGGGGTAAAATACGCGCTATACTCTTTTTGCCTTATTAGGGTTTTTTCCCACAGGGTTTTCCTTATAAAGTTTTTAATGAGACAACTAGTTATGCGTATTACTAAATATATGTACTTCTTTTCCTTCACTAGGATTTTTTCCCACGGGTTTTTTTCTAGTAAGGTTTTAATGAGGCATATTATCTTTTAATAAACATCCAAGGGGGAGTGTTATGAATATATTATATTATGAATGTTCATTTAGTACTCCATTATAAAGAAGTTTCCTGAAGAAGCTTCCTGGAGAAGCTTATCCATATGTGACTCCGCCGTAAATATGTTTATCTATTTAGTACTCTATTGAAAATAAGCCTACTGAAAAAGTTTATCCTTTCGGTACTCCGTTATGGATAAATATTACCACCGGTAGAAGATTATCTATATCTGGTACAATGAGTTTATCCTTTCGGTACTCCGTTATGGATAAATATTACCCCCGGTAGAAGATTATCTATATCTGATACAATAATAGCTTACAAGCAGCTTACACAACAGCTTACAGTAGCAACTTACAAGCAGCTTACACAACAGTTTCCTTTCATCTATAAATAGAGGAGTTTTCAGTTCATTATGTACATCAGTTTGAAGTTGAATAATATATTAGTTTCTATATATACTTGTCTTTACTTTACAGTTTTTATTTTATAACATATATGAATTTGATTACAAATTTTATTTAAATTAGTTTTACAACAAGCCAATGTAAGAATTTGCCAAACGGAAATATGAAGAATTCCATGTTTATTCGGACTTCAGAGTTCAGATGATTTGTGGGCCAAAGTAATTGGGCTCAACTGCAAAGTAATGGGCTTAATGCTCCTTTCCAAATTAGGGCCCAAATACATTCTAGGTGAGCTTAAATTCATCATTGCCATATTTTGGGTTCCAGCCGAATTCATCATATGGTTATAACTCCATCGTTCAAAACCCAAAATGATGAATGAGTTCTCCGACTAAAAGTATACTAGCAAGCTCCCACTAATTGGGATACGACTAAGGAGATGAAATCAACTCAATAATTTTATTTTTTTTAATTGAAGTGATTTAACAACGTTAAAGATTAATCCAGTATTAAGTCCCAGATATCTGTTGACGACTATTAGGGAATTACTTATTATTCAACTTCAATTTTCACTCTTGTCATACAAAGAGAGAGATGTTTTTGCAACAACCAAGTATAAGTCAAATCCTCTTTGTTATGTTACCTTTATTCCTTGTCTCCTTTTGGCAGCTTTAAACAAAATGTACAAGACTTCAGAGAGGATAAAATTGACATTTTTTAATAAGACAAATAAGATAAGATGGTCAAATAACATATAGGCAGGTGGATAAGTAATCTTAGATCTGTTAATTATATTATAGGATCTCAAAAACACAATTATGGTTTTGCCACCTAGTAGTATTAATCGATTACAACGCTCCAATCCTCAATCCTTGTTTCTTGATGCTAAAAATCTTGGAAATTGGTCATCCCATGCTAAAGCTCAAAACAAAACACTACTAGAAAATGGCTATTTTATGACTGGCAAAACGGTCGGAAAGCGATCAGAAAATGCTATTTTTCGATTATATTCAGACCGCAAAATCGTAGTCACAAAATAACTGGTCTAAAATAGTTTGCGACCGAATCCGTCCGTATTTTGCGACTACAGCAGCTGGAAAGTCAAAATAGAAAAACGACTAATAAATGTCGTCAACTGTCCGACTGACGCGGTCACAAATAATTTAAATTAAATTTTAATTTTATATTAACTTTTTCACTACTTCGGTCGCAAACGGTATATATAATTATAGTTTTATTTAATCTTTCTTACCGGAGTGGTCGCAAATAATATAAAGTATTTTTATTTTATTTGAGTTTTTCCATTACTGTGGTTGCAAAACTAATTTAAAATTATTTATTTATTTATATTTTCCACTACTGTGTTCGCAAATATAATTTAATATTATTTTTTTATTTAACTTTCCCACTACATGAGTCGCAGATATGTCTGAATCCGGTGAAGCGATTTGCGACTACTGTGGTCGAAAAATAGGAAATTTCTTGACAGATTCCAGCTCTTTTAAAGCAGCACCACCTACTAATTCAAATATACAGCAATTAAATAATTAATCTACCATGCCAACCAATCAATCCACTATTCTAACCAATCAATTCACCATTCCAACTAATTAGTCCACTATTTCAACTAATCAAATCCATAAAATGCAAACAATTATAGAAAACATAAATATTTATAACTAAAACATCCAAAAAGAGTTAAACATTCAAGAACCATCCAATCTAGTCTAAAACATTACAAACATAGTCAAGTGTAAATATTACCAAGTCTAAATATCTAACCACAACAAATAATAATATCTCAAACATCATAACCACAACAAACTAAAACTCATTGTCCCCGTCATCCTTGCCATTCAAAGGATCAAATGGACGTCCGCTCATAAATTTCTCCACTAGACTTTGTAATTTGTTAAATTTGCGCGATCTTCTTTCCATTCCTCCTTCAACTCTTCAACTTCTTTTTGTAATGCTTCCACCTCTTCGTGATTTTGCAAATAACTCGCATTACCAGACAACAATATCATAGAACAACCTACAGAATATTGTGATCCAAGACCGTAGGTTCTACCTTTCTTTGCGCCACCAACCACCTGCGCCCATATTGAAGCTACATCATTGAGTGACACTTGGGTTGAGCTACCATCCTCAGAATCGGGTTGACTTTGACGTCATTCCTCCAAACGTTGTTGATATGCTTTTTCATTTTAGGATAATGCTAAACCCAAAAAATCTCTAGGTAATAAAAAGAGAGACATAGACAAAAACTGACCGAAAAGATGAATGGAAGAGAAATTGGAGCAGAATTGGTCTTCAAGAGTCGAAGAATAGGCTTGAAATTTCTGCCGTTAGCCGAAAATTGCCATCCGTCGTTTGCCTCCGTCAGCCGCACAGGTAGAGTTGAAGAGAAATCGAAGAATAATCAACAACACTGATGGAATGGAAGAGAAATCGCAGAAGAAAAAAATATCGATAGAGAGATAGAGATAGAGGAAATTGGGGAAATATGGCCGAAATTGGGGAAATAGGGTTTTGGCCTGAAATATTAGATTTACCTTTCTGACTACCACAGTCGCAAACCCACTAAAATATTATTTTACTATTTTAATTTTAATTTTGCTACCGAAGAAGTCGCTTAATTGATCAACTATTATTATTGACTTTTTATCTTCCGACCGAATTGGTCACAAAAGTGAATGCGGGAAATTGGTGCGCTGTTTTCCCACTACTTTTGTCATAATAATAGTCGAATTTCTTGTTTTTTAAAAGTAATAAAAATGCAATCTGTTTCCCACTACTGCAGTCACAAAAGTAGTCGCATTAGCGACTGCTTCAATATCAGTCAAAAATTTCGGTCGCAAATTAATATTTTTCTAGTAGTAAAAATTATTACTTGAAGGAAGTAATCCCTAGAGTATTTTCATTTTTCATCATCAACATCAGTGACGGACCCAAGGTTTTAAGTGGGTTCAATAAAAGATCATGATAATCAACTGTACAAGTGTACCAAATTTGAGCACGACCCTTTTTTGTTCATCATATAACATCAAAATGATTTCATTTATTTTTCAAAAAAAGGTTGGGGACAAAAAAAAGGTAACAAAAAAAGTCTATTCACTTTTATAATTTAAAAATTGTCTATATAAATTAACAAACTTCATTTCAACAAATTTGGCAATTTTAATAAAAAATATTTAATCAACTTAAAAATCATACGGTAAATCTAAGAGACATGACCAACAAAGTTGCTACAAACAAAAAAAAAAGTGAAAAAGAGAGTTATAAATTAAACTAATTAATATAAATAATTAAAGAAAAAGAATGTTACACCAAGCTAAAATTTTTAGTATAACACAAATTAATAATTTCAACATAAACTAAACTAAATTAAAATAAAAGATTACAAGTAATTCTGATAAAGCACTCTCATGATTTATCAAAAATTATGAAAGAGATAACCAAATTCACTTTGTAGAAAAATTTGAATTTTTATAGTAAAATAGAGTTTAACAAGAATAACTTCTATTGGATTTAAGCAAAGAAAAGAAATCATAAAGAGAAGTAGGAAAACAAAGACAAACAAAAAATTATCTGAGTTCAATGCTTTGGCAGATGATCTAACTTGCGATCTTTGTCATATTTTGAACCCGCTTGATTGCTACTCTACGCCTTCTATTTATGTCAAGTGGGCTCAGAGTCTTTTATATGTACGTATTTTATGTTTTTTCGATGAAATTCACAAGTAAAAAATAATTATTATTTTGACGAGCTGAACCCCCTTCTTATAAGGTGGGTCCGCTCCTGATCAACATATGAGAAAGGCAAGACGAAAAACAAAAACCCTCAATCAATATCTTCAAATCACGAAATTGGTTAATTTGAATAGGTATAAGATTGATTGATGCAGAATAGGTTTAGAGTCAACTCATGTAGAATGGTAATGCATCTACATTTGAGTTTGGGATCAACAAATCATATTTTTTAGGAAACCAAGGTAGCTTATATGTCGTGAGCCCTACATTTCTTACCAATAGTTGGTAAGCACTAAACTCATGGAATCAATCAATATTGTTTACATCAGGATATACGGCATATATCACTGCGGTCCTTTTCTGGATCCTGGGTGAACTCGGAATTGTATGAGCCAAAATCTGTCTCTATAATACTTAAGTCAGGATGGCATTAGCGAAACATTCCCAGGCCGCCACGTGTCGAAGTGGCTTAAAGAACAATGAAAGTCGTGATCGAATAGTCAGCAAGGACTGAGGTCGAGGAGTCGTCAAGAATCGAGGCTGAGGTCGAATACCCTTGACAGAGTTATAACGGCTAATTCCATGATATAACATTAAAGAAAATATTCGAGTAGATATTCTCTACACTTGTACTGTTAGGATTTCTAGGAACATGTTCCCTATAAATAGAAATAAACACAATGATATAGGACATAAAATATTCATTTGTAAAATACACTTTGACTTTATTGAGAGAATCTGGCCTTATTACATGCATACAAAAATAACCTTTTACTAAGATTCTGATTCACACCTCTCCACTGGATCCGAGAATAACTCGAATATTCAAAGGCCGATCTATCATTCATCATTGTCAGAAAGAACATCTACTGATTTTATCCTTTCTCGGGTGACCCATACGTTTTATTTATATAAATGCCATTTATTGATATTCATCACTATTTAATGTTACATTTTTTCCTTTTGGGTCCTTGAATATTGTCATTATTGTGCACTATCGTAATCTTTGGAATAGATATACGTGTTATTTATCACCATACCGAGAATTTCATCTTTAGGATATAATTATTAACTCAGATTACCCCTGTTTGTATAAATTTAATTAGTTGAACCAAGATTTATATTTTTTGTCAAATAATTTGGCGTCATTTGTGGGGATTTCTTAGTTAATTTTTTAGTTTCCGTTAGATCTATAGCTAACGCAAGTCACTAACCCCACAAACCCCAAGATCTTCTTCTTTCTTTGTACGTACAAAAACTTACATGGCATGTAACCAAGGAGAAAGGACAAAAGTGTCACGTCTTAAAATCGAGGAGCGCGACCGACACTCAACCGAGTGAACCCGACCGAGCAAGCCTGTTAGATTCCTTCTACCCAAACTCATTCATGAATAGAGAGAGTATATATTTTTCTTAATTAAACAATAAAGTGGTCATGTCTGCAATTACCAATTTCTTACCATAAGTTTCACCATTTTTAAAGTCTCAAATGGACAAGTAATACAACCACAACATAGCATAGTTTATCTTTTTTAGCACCAATACACAACCCACACTATGTCTACAGAGCTTCTATAGATAAATAAGAGTACAATGATAATGCCGGCAACAAGGCCCCGGCTATACCTCAAACAGAATATACAAAGTACAAAAGATTCATGACACCGGAATGAAGTGGGGCTCACCAAGTCAGCTGGGAAGAAGGTGCACTGCTATCACTGACCAATATCTCCTGTTGTGAAACCACCTGCATACATTGAAAGATGCAGCGCTCCCGACAAAAAGAGACGTTAGTACTGTCAAATAGCACTAGTATGTATAGCTAGAAATCCTCTTTCAAAATAGAATGCCCATATGATCTATATGTGAAACACATAATATAATATAATTGAAACAACCTGTACAAACAAGGACAACAAAAGGGGCACCTATTGTCTGCATTATTAATGTGTCTCATTAGACCGTCCTTAGTATTCACATTTCATATTATACACTTATGCGTTTCATAGACCGTCCATAGTGTTTATTCATACCATACATCTATACCTCTTATACACAATGTACCTATGCGTTTCATAGACCGTCCACAGGATTTTATATCACAATGGATTTCATAACACAATGTATCTATGCGTTCATAGACCGTCCAGAGGATTTCATATCACAATGTACCTATGCGTTAGGGCTGGCAAGTGGGCTGGTCCCGGGCCGAAACGGGCCAAGTGGGCCGGTCCAAACGGTCTCGGGCCCGGGCCTAAACGGGCTTTTCTAAGGACCGACCCGGTACCGGGACCGTTTGGTCCCGGGCCGCGGGCTAAACGGACTAAGTGGGCTATAAGATGTATATATAGTATATAAGATGTATATATAGTATATAAGATGTATATAAGATGTATATATAGTATATCGATATAAGATGTATATATATATATAAGCTATATTCGATAAGCTATATATACATCTTATATACTATATATAAGATATATATATAGTATAGTATATATATTAAATGTATATATAGTATAGTATATATATATATTAAATGTATATATAGTATATATATATAAGCTATATTTGATAAGCTATATATACATCTTATATACTATATATAAGATGTATATATAGTATAGTATATATATATATATATAAGATGTATATATAGTATAGTATATATATATATAAGCTATATTCGATAAGCTATATATAAGATGTATATATAGTATAGTATATATATTAAATGTATATATAGTATATATATAAGATGTGTGTGTGTGTGTATATATATATATATATATATAAGCTATATTCGATAAGCTATATATACATCTAAAGACAAAAGGATGTTAAACCTTGAGAACCCCTAAAACCCGCCCAAGCACTAAGTGCTCTTACTCCCGCAGTTCTTTTAGATGATTGAGAATCAGAA